ATCGCGAGAACGTAGCTTAAACAAGCGATGCATTGTGGGTCCAGAATTACTGCGGAAAAAAATTCTATTGAATGAATGTGCAGTAGTCCGAATTTTCTCATCGCCCAGGCGTTGTCGTTAGAGCTCGCAGTGACGAGCGGCGCTTCGCGCCGCTCGCTGCGCTCGCTATTAATCTGATGTTAGGAAAGATACAAGTAGAGCTTTTTTCAAAAAGCTTACCGTCTGAGCAACAACTTTAAACAGTAAACTGACCTAAACCTATCAGGCTGTATAATTCTTGAAAATTTCTTGGCTTTGTATTTCTTCATTAGTTTTTTTTTCTGACATAAGCCCTACTAAGTGAAAAGTTAACAGATGCTCGACTGTCTCTGTAAACTTCAACTCTGCAGCCGAGATCATTCGGCAAACCTCGGCTGATTCCGTCACCTTTGTGATATGTAAGATGAAGTACATGTACGAATCAGCCGAGGTGTTACCGAGTGCTGCCGAGATAGAAAGACAATCGCATCATCTCGGGTCTTTCCGTCGGAGGTCGGAAAAACAACCTCGAATGTATTAACATCACCGGATGTTAAAAATTTACACAAGATGGAGTCGCTTCCTATTTATTAAAGCATTGGAAAGATAGAGTTAGAAGTCACTCCGGTAGTATATTTTAGGTAATATCTTTACATTCAATAAAGTTGAGCTCCAAACTCTACAGATAAGAGGTCTCCCTACATTTATTTCAAAGTTTATGAAAAGGGGGGTTGTCATGGACGCCTACGTAATACATTCGAGGTTGTTTTTCCGCTTGTCGGAAAGGCCCGAGAAGTTTCGATTGGATAGAAAGACAGTGCAAAACAAAGGGGAAAAGACTAAGTACAAGCTGTAAAGCTTGCATGCAATAAGGAGCAATTCTGTTAACAATGAAAATATAGAAACGTTTTTTTTTGGTAATTGCTGTTAAAAAAAAAAAAACTAGCATGTTAATTACTGCCAATTTCCACTGTTCGTTTTGTCATATTTTTTTACGATTGAAAATCTTGAAAAATTGTTAAGTCGTACGAAAATTAGAGCATCAGAAAATTATCTCCCTTGCCTTGAACAGCATTTCAACCAATGAAATAATTGAAAATTTTCTCATCATGCAATTTCTACCAATCACAAAAGAGAGGAAGTGCATAGTCCGAAGACTGTAAAATACTTCAACTTTGTATACCGTCTTCCAAGGAAGACGGTAACAATAGGGGGTAAAGCAAGCAACATTGACTTATATTTTTAGATATATGATATAAGTTATATGGTAATGAATTACGTTAGGTGACCCTAGGTCTCCCTAATGATGAACCACGTTACGCTACCGTATCAAAGTGACACACTAGCTAACCTCTGGTCTCCTTTCTAAATATCAGAGTAGGTGACCTTTTGTCTCTGCACGCGCAGATCTAGCGGAAATGGGGGGATGATCATGCCCCCTTGGACTTTTCACAGATACTTTAAGATAATGGTATAATGATTTGGTAATAAATTACGTTAGGTAACCTCTGGTCTCCCAAATGATACATCATACCACAATAGACGACCTTATCAATATACCTCTGGCCTCCTTATTGGTGTTCCCCTTGTAATTGATGAGTGAAAATTTAATGGAAAAGAGATGCTGAACTCCAATCAGCACCCCCGCTGATCTGCAAATGGAGAAACAAACTAACCAATAAGAGACTTACCAAAAAAAGAAGGCTTAGAAAACACAGACCCCATGAGAATTGCTTCTAAGAATCATATACATGTATATGAAGACAAGCAAATTGTCCGAACGCAGTCCATCCCAAGAAATTCTGCGCATTTTCTCCGATTTAGACTTAGACAGAACTTAATCAAAGCGCAATTAACCCTAATCTTTGATATTTCCGCGGTGCGAGGCTATTTATATCTGCAGCTTTGAGGAAGGGATCCTAAATTTAACACGTTTAAACTTAACAGCAGGGACTAAACAATTCGAGGCTTTCAATCTCTTTTCTCCTTTTTGGGGGGAGGGGGTGTTCTTTATATGTTGTGCTCTGAAATAGAAATCGATAAAAAAAAAAAAAAAAAAAAAAAAAAAGGAATATAAACTGAAATTAAATTAATATAAAAATAGCAGGCTCATTGGTCACTGAATATTTAGGGCCTTTCTACTTTCTAGAATGTTTCCATATAATTTGAATTGAAACTGCAAGACAATCTATAAAAAACAAAAATTCTCTTTCAATAAACATCGGGTATGGTGGACATTTTTGTTATGGAAAGAAGTGCCGAGTAGAAAATAACTTGCGTAAATTGATTGGTGTAAAATAAAAATGCCGATTTCCTGATAATTTTCTCATTTGGGTTGTTTCATATTTTAAATGAAACAAGATAATCAGTCTAGAGCCTATGAAACAGATAAGACCTACAGTGGCGAGACTGTAAATATGGAAAAAAAAACTTAGAGAAGGTCGGGTTTGGGACCGCTTGAAATAATAGGCATAAAATTCAAATAAGTATTTGTGTGGTTTGAATTGAATACGACTAGCATATATTAAATTCCAAATATGCATTTCAAAAGAAAAACCTGACAATGAAAACTTGAAATGATATCTAATAACATTTGGAAGTTTTGACTTCAACAAGAGAAGCTGGAGAACTTTAGATCCACCTCTCAAAGCTGTTGGCATCAGTTGTCTCGAATCACTCTCAAGGGTATTACAGTGATCAGCGTTAATTGCACTTTTATTGAGTTCAAGCCAAAGCTTTACCGGACGATTTTCTTGCCATGCCCATTCCGACGAAATAAATTTAGTGAATATGCAGAAATTGTGTACCTTTTAGATTTTGCTTGTCATTAAAATCAGAGTCTGAGTTTGGGAAATAATTCTTCACATACCACACTGTTTAACCTTTTGTCTCCTTACAAGATTAGGTAACCCTTGTCTCCCTAATGATCTACAGCATAGGGTGACCTCTGGTCCCCCTAATAATGTAAAATATAAGGTGACCTCTGCACTTGCATTTACATAAAACTTTATGTGACTTCTGTTCTCCTGAATAATGTACAATATAAGCTGACCTCTGGTCTCCCTAATAATATACAATATAAGGTGTCCTCTGGTCTCCGTATTCATATACAACTTATGTGACCTCTGGTCTCCCTAATGATGTTCAATATAAGGTGACCTCTGGTCTCCCTAATGATGTATAATATAAGGTGACCTCTGGTTTCCGTATTCATATATAACTTTATGTGACCTCTGGTCCCCTTAATGATGTACATTGTACAATATATGGTGTCCCCTGGTCTCGGTATTTATATATAACTTTATGTGACCTTTGGTCTGCCTAGTAATGTACAATATAAGGTGACCTCAGGTCTCTGTATTTATGTGCCACTTTATGTGACCTCTGGTTTCCCACATGATGTACTATAATCGGTGACCTTTTGTCGCCCTAATAATGTACAATGTAAGGTGACCTCTGGTTTCCCTAACAATGTACAATATAGGGTAACCTTTGGTCTCCGTATACAACTTAATGTGAACTCTAGTATCAGTAAAGATGTACAATTTCGAGGGAACTCTAGTTTCCGCATTAACATTCAACTTTATGTGACCTCTGATCTCCCTAATGACACACAATATAAGGTGAACTCTAGTCTCCGCATTCAAAAACAACATTAAGTGACCTCTGCGCTCTCGTATGATGTACATTATGGGATAACCTCTGGTCTCCGTATTCAAATACAACATTATGTGACTCCTGCATGGTCTCCTTATGAGGTAAAAAAGTTGTATAAGACATAAAGTTGTATATAAATACGGAGACTTTATAGAGGTCACCTTATATTATTCATCATTAGGGAGACCAGAAGTCACCTTATATTGTACATCATCAGGGAAACCAGAGGTCACCTTATATTGTAAATCATCAGGGAGACCAGAGGTCACCTTATATTGTAAATCATCAGAGAGACCAGAGGTCACCTTATATTGTACATCATCAGGAAGACCAGAGGTCACCTTATATTGTACATCATCAGGGAGACCAGAGGTCACCTTATATTGTAAATCATCAGGGCAACCAGAGGTCACCTTATATTGTAAATCATCAGGGAGACCAGAGGTCACCTTATATTGTAAATCATCAGAAAGACTAGAGGTCACCTTATACTGTACATCATTAGCGAGACCAGAGGTCACCTTATACTGTACATCGTCAGGGAGACCAGAGGTCACCTTATATTGTACATCATCAGGAAGACCAGAGGTCACCTTATATTGTACATCATCAGGGAGACCAGAGGTCACCTTATATTGTACATCATCAGGGAGACCAGTGGTCACTTTATATTGTACATCATCAGGAAGACAAGAGGTCACCTTATATTGCACATCAGGGAGACCAGAGGTCACTTTATATCGTACATCATTAGGGGGAAACTATTTGCGGGTGACCCGAGGTCCTAGTTGATCGTACGTTTTATCCTCCTGCAATAGGGACAGGCAATACCAGCAACTTCCTATTATTTAAAAAATAAATTTACAAAGACGGAATGTACAATTCCGGATTGAGAGTCACCACAATATACATTCTAGATCTATATAAACGTACGTCAAAAATATTCTTTAGTATTAAGTTTATGTTGGCATTTAACTTGCATAGATTAGATTTTAGTGAGTATTCGTTGACACTATAAGGACATATCACAATGAAAGATGTCAACTCGGGAAAATATCTTTCATTTTCGACAGCTTTAGATACTATAAACACATTCTTTAAAATACTATGGTAGGCATAACCGGTAGACCTACCGTCCATGTCGAATATTCCACGAGTGAATAGATCTACTACATAATGAACGATAACTCGTACTATGAACGATAATTCGTGTTCGCCTACCTAGCTGCACATTGTGCCACCTAGCGTTGACCTACACCTTTTGAGGAAGTAAATTAAAAAAATCGAAAGGAAACAAAACCGGTTTCCTTCACTAATCCTGTCCAAATTTGTCAGCTTCCGAACATTCCGTCGGCTGAGCAGTTTGACAGAACAAGGGAGTTGCATCAGAATAAGTATTATATATATACATATTTAAAGAAGAAATGGAAAAATACTTTCAAGAGGAGCGTGGTATTACAGACATAACTCTTATTGTAGAGGATAAGGAAATCCATACTGTTAAAGCAATCTTAATGAGTGCTTCGCCAGTATTCAAAGCCATGTTTACCTTGGATTTTAAAGAAAAAACAGCACAGAAGATACCTCTTCCAGAGAAAAAGTACAAAGATTTTGTTTTGTTTTTACTCAGGATTTTTCCCAAGGAATACATAGAGCTGAACGGTAAGTTAGTTGTATTTCTCTTACGCATTGCTCAAAGGATCATGGGCCCGTTTTACAAAAGAACTTACGACTAAGACCAAAATTTAATTCTGCTAATAACTTTCTAATTTACATTAAATAGAAAATGGTTTTAATCTTTTTAACAAGTATGTAGAAAGATACTTTTACGCCAGAAATTGTAAACAGAATCATTAATTTTGAAAATTTTACAATCAACTTAAGTTTTTGGTCTTAGTCGTAAGTTCTTTTGTAAAACGGACCCCATGGCCGTAGGAAACGAGGGGGCCGTGCCCCCCTCCCTCCCCCCAATAATTTATTTTGCCGATACTATTGAAAAAATAGTTACTATATGCTTGTGTCCCCGCAATAATAACGTCTGATGTCTGATGATTTTTTTTTTTTTTGCTTGTCAAGGAATTTTGGTAGTTGATAGCCACCCCCCCCCCTCCTAAAAATTTATGGTTGTGCCCCCTCAAAGTGAAAATGCTTCCTACGGGCCTGAGGATTACCCAAACAATAGAATTTTTTTATCGTCTTTATGTATCTTCTAAATTTAATCCTCTTGAGAAAAATTATGCTTCGTGGAAAGCCCAGAATCAAACCTTGATGCATAGTAAAATTGGTTCACAGTTTTTACACTTGCTAGTCTTCATGTGTATTTAAAAGAAGGGAATGAAATCTTGAATGTTGTCCCAGGAAAACGCAAACATTTTCAATAACTTTTGTTTCACTAATACTATAAAGTTGAAATTGGCATACACCATAATCAATATTTTTTTAATAATGCATAAAAACTTCAATAAGATATCTCTGTAAATAATTTATTTCTCTCGGGTAAACAAACCTTACAAAATAGCTGTCGGCGGAACACGACGTCAAATCGAAGCTCGCGGCGTTTGTGAATTTATTATGGAATCGTGCTTCTGATTAAATTCGTTTGAACAGAGATATATAATAGAATATGTCTCTGGTTTGAAGCATAAATTCGACACTGTATTTAATTTTCTTTTAGTTATCAAGTTATCCGTTTCAGATAATAGCGTTACCAAAAGATCGTGGAATTAATTCCTTTATTAGAAAATTTCCCAACCCAAATCATAAACCTAACTGCCCGTATAGTTGAACAGTTGAAAGGTAGTCGCCACGTATATGACGTTTAGCTCTGACTTTTCTGTTTGTATTCATTTCTGTTGGTATACCAAACGCTTTTTCCATTGAATAAACAGTCAAGCCATCCTCGAAAACCTTCCACTATGTATAAATCTGTGTCCGAGACATACGTTTGTATCGTTCTCTTGTTAACATCTCTTTTCCCGTAATCATAAGAGCCATATACCGCTCAATACAGTACTGCTTGATAAATTGGTGCTCCACATTATCGCCCGACGTCACAATTTTTGACAATACCTTACTAAAAGTGTTTTGGCATTTAACGTCATAGTTTTGTCACTTGTGATGCCAAATTAATGAATTTTTACGAATGGGTACTCCAGATCATAGAGTTTCTACGAAGGTAATTTTTTTCATATTATATTTCCGTATAGCTTGGTAATAAAGAAAACGTCATTGAAAATGCTATTTCTATAACTACAAAAAATTGCCGTGCGCCGAGCACCGATATTTGACACACTTTAAATACTCTTGTTACATGAATATAACATTAAAACATAAAAATATTTTGTCAAAATAACGAAAATATCACTTCCCAACAAAGTGCAAAAAATTATCAGTTTTGGTTAAATAGTTTTTGAAATATCTAAAAAGTTCGCGTTTTTCTGGGACAACCCTCGTACATTCTATACAAACTGGTCAGAGTTACATATATATATATATATATATATATATATATATATATATATATATATATATATATATATATATATATATATATACAAAACGAAAAACATGACAGGTGATTAAAAAAGGAAAATTAAGAAAATAAGAGAGGGGAAAATATATCAAGTAGGACAGATAGCATCATAGATTTTTAGGATAAATGCATAGTTTTTTCAGCATTTTTTTTTTTTTAGTTTTTAGTTGACATTAGTTCCATGAATTTAATAACATTCGGTCTGTGGGAATAATAATTTTCTTACATTAGCTAAAGTTTTACATTCTAAGATATAATGAAATTCATCAGCAGTTTGAGTATTATTACAAAGTATACATATTCTATCACACAGTGGTATACCATACCATCTTCCAGTCTCTACTGGCAGATGATGATTTGCAATACGAAATTTTATAAATATTTTTTTCTAAATTTAAGAGATAACTTTAATATCAATATAATGTTCAGATCCAAAGTTTTGTTTAAAGATTCTGTAAATCTGTCCTTTTGAAGAATATTTACGTCACTAGACCACTTTTGAATAAATTGATCTTATAATATCTGTTTTACAGTAGCAGTTATCCATTCATAATTCATATTGACACCGGACACCGTGTTTGTACCATACATTTGATAAACCACACATATTACATATTTTCTGTATGCAATCTAACCATGGGTTTGTTAAGTTTCCATCACAGTACTGTTTAAACATATGTTTGTCTAAAACATTTACAATTTTATTTGGCGGGCCTAAAAAAAGCTTTGCGCAATATGAAATCATTCTACAATATACCAAAATATACAGAGGAAAGCGACCTGTCTCACCAGAGACCATGCATCGCTTTTGCTTGTTCATACTTATAAGTGTTTTTTTTTTTTTTTTTTTTTTTCACAAAGGAACCTGTGCGTGATAAAACAACGCCTAAATATTTAAACTCTCTAACATTTTCAACAAGCATTCTGTGAGTATTGCATAAGCAATACATGTACCCTACCGGTATCCCTTTTTCTTTTTAGGATGTCATTTTACTGATAAGAACTGCGCCCCACCCCCAAATATGGACATTTCGGATTACTTGTTTATGAATGAAATGTTGGAATGAAATCTGTCTTACAAAGACGTGTTTGACTAAAATCACATGTATGAATAACATGACAATTGCTAACGTTACTCGTTTTCCCTGACCTGGCATTTACCACCCGGTAAAAAATCTCTGCCTTTAACTTATAAATAAATAGGGATATAAAAAAAACAATTCAAATCGGGAAAAATATTCAGCCTTTATTGCATCTGGTGCTATTTGTCCAAGTGTATTAAGTATTCGCTGGTAGGAATTGCTGAAAACAATGCACAATATTACTTTACCGTCTTCTGTCACGTTTTTGGAACATTTTAGTTCAGCACGAACCCGATCGTGAACCCGATTATAAAAAAGAGGAATGCTTAAAACTGATTTACTCTAGCACCTGTTGGTGAAACGTGACAGAATTCAAACTTGATCTATAGTTTGTCACTATAAAGCTTCCTAGCAAGTTTTAAACCTGACAACCTCCTTTTGTAACATTTATATAGTGCAGCACGAACCCGATCTTGAACTATTATAAAAAAGAGGAATGTTTAAAACTGATTTACCCTGGAACCTTTTGGTTAAATGTGATAAAATTCAAACTTGAACTGTAGTTTATTACTATAAAGGTAAATAGCAAGTTTCAAATCAATTCTCAAAAGAATAAAGAAAAAAAGTGCGGAAAACCAAGTGGGACAGACTGACAGACAGACAGAGGGACAGACAGACAGACATACGGACGGACAGACTCAGAGGAAACCTATAGTCCCCTCCGGTTTCACCGGTAGGGGACTAATAACTAAGTTGTCGTAATAAAATTTTCTTTTTAGCATATATAGGACCCTTTGAAAATATTAGAATCTTCGTTTTTTCGACATTCACTTTCAACTTCCATTGTAAACAATATGTTTGAAATTTATTAATTGCATGTTGTAATACAACCAGGGTCTTTTTGTGACTGACATGTTTTATACCTGTCCAGTTGTTTTTTTACACTAATTTTGAGTACTGATTATTCCATTTACCTGATTAATACATAAAGCTCACGGCAGGTGTCACTGATCGACAGAGATATTGGGATTTATGAGATCGATCTCTGCTTGTGAAACCGGTGAAACCGGAGGGGACTATAGGTTTCCTCTGAGTCTGTCTGTCCGTCTGTCTGTCAGTCTGTCCCACTTGGTTTTCCGCACTTTTTCCCTAAACGCTTGCAGATATTGAGCTGATTTTTGGTATGCGAGTGTATCTTGATGATTTACAGATCAAGTTTGCATTTCGTTCCGCTTCATTGATTTTGACGGAATTACGGCCTTTTCAATTTTTAAGGGTTTTCCGCAATTTTCTTCTAAACGCTTGCAGATATTGAGCTGATTTTTGGTATGTGACTTAACATTGATAAGTTATAGATCAAGTTTGCATTTCGTCCCGCTTCATTGATTTTTGACGGAATTATGGCATTTTCAATTCTTAACGGGAACCAGATTACACTTACCGGTAGGGGACTAGTATTGCTAATGCAATACTCTCAGAATGCTTGTTATCTTTATATTTTCCTTAGTAATAAAGTGCTTTGTACGAAGTACACCCTTACCGAATAGATAATACAGTAGATTCCTAAATGTTCTCGAGAAATTTATTAGTCCCCTACCGGTGAAACCGGAGGGGACTATAGGTTTCCTCTGAGTCTGTCTGTCTGTCCGTCTGTCTGTCTGTCAGTCTGTCCCACTTGGTTTTCCGCACTTTTTTCCTAAACGCTTGCAGATATTGAGCTGATTTTTGGTATGTGAGTGTATCTTGATGAGTTACAGATCAAGTTTGCATTTCGTTCCGCTTCATTGATTTTTGACGGAATTACGACCTCTTCAATTTTTAAGGGTTTTCCGCAATTTTCTTCTAAACGCTTGCAGATATTGAGCTGATTTTTGGTATGTGACTTAACCTTGATGATTTATAGATCAAGTTTGCATTTCGTTCCGCTTCATTGATTTTTGACGAAATTATGGCATTTTCAATTTTTAACGGGAACCTAATTTCACTTGCCGGTAGGGGACTAGTATTGCTAATGCAATACTCTCAGAATGCTTGTTGTAGCGTAATTTCACAAGAAACACCACTCGCTTAATTAAATTCCTCGTTTTATTTTAATATCGCTGAAATCTGAGTAAAAATCCATATCAATGGTCTACTCGCAATTTTTTTTTTCACTATTTAACGTTTGCGAGTCATTTAGCAATATTAAGTACTCGCGTAAAATAAGGAATTTAAAGTATTCCTTCTTTGCAAATATTATTAAACTATGGAATGGTTATACCATTGCTTTTACAGAAACTTAGGAAGTAAAATGTAATCTCTTGTATATTTTTCATTCGATTTGTTTTATCTGGTTGATATATAAAATAATTAATTATACCTTTTTGTAGCATAAATCTCTTTCTTAATTATACAGAAGAAAAGATCAAGCGGATTCTTCCACTAGCAAGAGAATATGAAACGACACAAATCTTGAAAGACTGTGAAGCCTGGATGATATCACGGCTGTCTGTGAAGAAAAGCACAGAAGATGCTTTCCAGAATTCCCGCAATTTTAGGGATATTTCCTATTTACTTGAGTGGTTAACAATTGCACACGATTATGATTTTGAAAAGCTTTTTGAAAATCTTCTTGATGTCATCTCTGACTATAACTGGCAAACGTTAAAGAAATGTTATACATACGAACATATTTCTCCGGAAATAAAAACAGAAATTTTAGAAAAAAGACTTTCCATAGTTGAAATGAGTGTGCGAAATGCACCAAAATGTTCCTGTGAATATAAAAATCCTGGGTCAAGTGCACTTTCCAAATTAAAAGAAGAACTGTGGCTCTAAACAAATGCAAGACTGGAATAATATTTTTACATATCATGTCATAATACTAATATTTATATCTTATGGGGAGAAAAATATAGGAATTTCTTTTTATCGAAAAACGAAATCTCCTCTTTTTAGCTCACCTGAGCCGAAGGCTCAAGTGAGCTTTTCTGATCACATTTTGTCAGGCGTCCGTCCGTCTGTCCATCTGTCTGTAAACTTTTCACTTTTTCTACTTCTTCTCAAGAACCACTGGGCCAATTTCAACCAAACTTGCCAGTATCCTTGGGTTAAGAGAATTCAAGTTTGTTCATATGAAGGATAATGTCCTCTTCCAAGGGGAGATAATTACAAATTAGTGAAAAATTAATAGCATCTTTTAAAAATCTTCTTCTCAAGAACCACTGGGCCAGGAAAATTAAAACTCATGTGAAATCATTTTCAGGTAGTGAAGATTCAAGTTTATTAAAATCATGACCCTTGGGGGTAGGATGGGGCCACAATGGATGATCAAAGTTTGACATAGGAATATATAGGGAAAAATCTTGAAAAATCTTCTTCTCAAGAACAGTAAAGCCATGATTGGTCATATTGATATGGAAGCATTTTCAGATAGTGTAGATTCAACTTTGTTCGAATCATGACCCCCCAAGGTTAGGGTGGGGCCACAATTGGGGATAAAAGTTTTACATAGGAATATATAGAAAAAAAACTTTAAAAATCCTCTCAAGAACAGCAAAGCCTTGTTAAGTCATATTGATATGGAAGATTCTGATTAAATTCGTTTGAAGCATATGTTTATTTTTCCTTTTGTTTGATTTTCTTTCCGTTTCTTTTCTTCATCTACTACTCAAATGAAAATTATTCTCAACCTGACTGGCCAAAAATTATGTTATTACATTTTGTTGCATTTAGCTTAATCTTGACGCAAAATGTAATAAGATAAAATGCAATAATCCCGGTTTATTATATTTTGCGTTGTTATTACATTTCGCGATGTAACAAAGCGTGTTTTACTGAACTCCATGGAAAAGTAGATGTTGGACTGTTAATTAAATAAATCAACAGATAAAAAAAATTCCGAGTTTGGTATGAAAAAAAATAACAAAGAAGTTAATTACTAAATGGACTGGTCTACAACAAGTAAATGAATTAGTTATTACAATCCCCATACATATATGAAATAAGTAAATGGTTTATGCCTTGATAAGTATTGCAGTTTACTTAATTCTGAAGAAATGTTGGTTATAAATTCTTAGAAGTCCCCGTCTGCATTCATGTTTCTTATCTGTCAGTCATGGGTTCTCGATAAACTTGAATATATATATATATATATATATATATATATATATATATATATATATATATATATATTTTCGCGTTATATGCGTTAACTTTCGCGTTATTTTCGATTTTTTCTTTTTACCTACGAAAATGAGCTCAATGGACTTTCGTACCAATTTATTACGCAATTTTAAAAAAAAGTTTTTTTCTGGAGTCCTTCTTGTCTGGAAAAGAAATAAATATTGACTATCGATAAATATTCATTGGTGACATCTCATTATGTTAGTTTTCATTATAATTCAACATATGGCAACACATAAAATGTTGGTGTTCCATTATTACTGGTTGGCGAACGTGTTCTTGAATGTACCGTAAAACTGTTAAATGCTATTGTGTTGTTTGGTACAATACCATCTTCAAGGAAACAGTGTTTCATTGTGCCTCTGTATAAGGGAGGAGGAAAATACAAAACCCCTTGCAATAGCTACAGACCAGTCGCTTTATTGTCATGCTTCTTAAAGATTTTTGAGAGTATCATTCATACCCGCATTTCTGAACATGTTTTAGGCAATAAGGTATTCCCTAATCTCCAACAAAAAGGTTTTCAACAGAAGCTAGATTGTCTGACAGCGTCTTTTAACTTACACGAAACAATTTTCCATAATTTAGAACAGGGTAGCAATGTTTATGTTAGTTTTATAGATAGTACCAAAGCATTTGACACTGTATGGAGACATGCTCTCTTTTGAAACTGCATTAACTTGGTGTAACTGGCAAACTTTGGACTATACTAAATGACTGTCACGTTGATACATCAATTAAGTGCTATTATATAGTTAATCATGCAGTCTCAGTCTAGGTGGTTTCTTGTACAACAGGGCGTCAGACAAGACGTTTTCTTTCTACATTTTTGTATCTTGTGTACATTAATGATTTGATTGATAGTCTAGAAAAATCATCTAATAAATATGGCATTCTTAATATTTCAAGCAGCTGTCCCTCACTGGCAGTTGATCTAGCATGCATTGGACTTTCACCTGCATCCCTTCAAGCAATGCTTAACATTTCATACCAATATTTTAGGAAGTGGCGATTTACGTTCAATGAAAAAGTAGACTCCGACAATGTATCTGGGGAATGATATCATTCTTTGTTTGGACAACTGCAACAATCTATAATAAGTGCAACCTTGCAGATAGGATTATCTCTGCGTGCCGAAAAGGGAAAAATTCATATTTCGCTCTTAATGACATTGGATCTCGATACCTAAACCCTTTGACACTCTCACATCTTTACAAATCAATTGTTTTACCGTCGGTACTCTCTCAATGTGAATTACGGAATGACATATCCTCAAATGATTTACTTCGCTTGAATGTTTTCCAACATTTAGTGGTCAAAAATGCCCAGAATCTTCCTACAAGAACAAGGCCTGACATTTGTGAAAACTTTTTTCAAGTTCTTCCGATACAAGCTGAGATTGATACAAGGAAGCTACTATTTCTTGGTCGTTTGTGTCGCCTGGAATTCAAAAATCTGTCAACGAAAATATTCTTAACAAAGCTTTTTTCACACTTGGAGGGAATCGCTCAAAAACAGCTAGGCTTTATTCCTGACATTTTGAATTTGTTATGTATTTATAACCTCTGTGAATATATGAGGAGTGGCTTTCGGTTGGAGTTTTTCCGTCAAAATCACCTTAGAAACGGATTGTGAGATCTGCAACCTTTCAATACAATAAACTCGAGGAACAATCGCATGTCAGGTGATTCAAGATTCGACCGTTTCCGTAATATATTTCAGGATAGTAACCCTGCGTTGTTTTGGCGACTACCTTCCAACTGTTACAAAATTTCTCTATGCACGTACATCTGCAAGTTGGTGTCAAAATCTCCTAGAATAACTAGCGAAATTTGCTCCCTTTGTGGTGCTACATATGTTGATCTGTTTAACCACGTGTCTTGCTCATGCCGCTTCACATATGATATCCGTAATCAATGGTGGGAGGATATAACCAACTTCTTTGATATTCGCTGAATTAAGTGCCTTTACATATGACGACCTGTATCTGATTCTACTAGACCGCAAGCCGATCACTTCTTTCCGCCTTCCACCTCAGGAACTTCCAGTTGCGAAATTTTCGTCTTGTTTGCAATGCCTGTGCAATCTTTCGGTACTGTAGATCTGCCAGTGAGGGATGCCTCCAAAAGCCTCTTTTTTTAGTCTCCCCTTTTATATATGTGATCCTTTTGTTATATCACATAGAGACATTTGGATATGATGTGCATATATAAATAATGGCCACTAGCTTGTGGTCACAACGTTTGTAAATATTTCATTTTCTATATATGTACACATGCATTTCACTTTCTCTCGAGTACGAATATGATATGTATTTTGAACTTGTATGTTATTCTTTTTTGCATATTTTTTGTATAATGTTCATTAATCACTGTAAAGTGGAAATAAAGTATGAATGAATGAATGAATGAATGAATGGCTTTTATCTTTTCTTAATCTAATTGATATATAGGCCACGCCTTCCTACGTAATGACAATCAATCAAGAGTTCAGATAAATGTAATAGGATTTTAAATTAAAAACCGAGAACAATAAACTAGCATGCGACAATGCCAAAATGCAAGATGAACTTTTGAATATTATATGCAATGCAATGAAGGATAATCTACTTTTCTTCAACATCGAGGAAACTGCCGAGTTCTCATTCAATTTTTTTGCAAAAACAATCTGGGTGTTGGTGAGGCTGGAAATATACAGCTTGAACAGAACCATCCCAAATTCAAATGAGACAAGATCTTATAAACAACTTAGACGCTCTTTATTCTTGTTAAGATGATACTGATGTCAATCAAATTGTAAATAACTTTAGCGAAACTTAAGCAGTGTTTTAGGGAAGTATTGCATAAAGAATGTCCAAAAGTAAGAAATACAGAGGATAAACCATGGTTCAATTACAAATGTAAAGTTTTATACAACAAATATTTATCTGCTTTAGAAGAATATAATAAAATTTCATAGTAAAATAAATTATAATAGACTTGCTAAAACAAAAAGTGAATACAAAAAACTTCAGAAGAAACTAAAAAATCAATACAAGAGACAACAAGGTGATATGGTGCAGCAGTTGAAGAAAAACAACCCTAAAGAATTCTTCAAACATTTTAGCAAACGAAATACGTCAACCTCAAAAGTTACACTTTCAGAATTTTTTGAGCACTTTCGGAACCTTTGCTAATGATTCAGCATCTACTTATATTTCGATTGTTAATTATATGGAGACAATACTTTAAATAGCCCTGTATTTGAGCTCTTGGATACTGAAATTACTCCAAAGGAAATTGAAACCTGCATACGCAGATTGAAAACGAACAAAAACGCGGGAAACGATTATTTGATCAATGAATATTTTTCCGAATTTAGTGACATAATTCTCCCTATTCTATTGACCCTTTTCAACAAAATTTTCAATTCTGGTATATTTCCTACATGCATCGTGGCTTAAAGCAATTATTACAGACCCGTAGGAAGCAATTTCAGTGGGGGGCACAGCCATATATTTTCAGTTGAGGGGGCACTATCAGCAAAACTGCCCCCCCCCCGGTTCCTACGGCCATGTATTATTCCAATTTATTAAGAAGGAAAAACCGACGATCCCGGAAATTACAGAGGTTTCAGCATCACAAGCAATCTAGGAAAACTTTTTAGATCAATTCTTAACGAAGAATAGTGAATTGGAACAACTCAGAAAATATTATCAATGATGCGCAATTTGGATTTCAGGCTGGTCGATCAACTACTGATGCGATATTCGCGCTTCAAAGTTGAATATCACAAAAGTTGAATAATTTATGTGAATAAATTATGGTATAAGTTGATTAAATTGGGGATTACATGTACCGGAAAATTCCTTCGAATCATCCGATCGCTTTATGTTGACCTGCGCGCTTGTGTCAAGAATGTTGGAGATATATCCGTAGAATTTCCAGTTAACATCGGGTTGCTACAGCTAGGGGGAAGTGTTATCACCAATACTATTCAATATGTATGTTAACGACTTGGAAAACCACTTCATAAACTATAAATGCCCATCCGTAGAATTAAGGGAACTAAATATTTTTGTTTTGATGTTCGCAAATGACACCGTAATATTCGCTAACTCACCAGAAGAATTACAGAATATTCTTGACGCGTTACATGGATATGTTACCTAGTGGAAATCGACTGTTAACACTGCAAAAACAAATTTTTAGTATTCAGAAAAGGAGGATGAATTAATTTTTCATGGATTTATAACAATGAAATTTTGGAAATTGTCTACTCTTTTATTTACCTAGATTATGTTTAAATTATAACGGTAAATTCATTGTTACGCAAAAGAAGTTAGCTGAACAAGGTCAAAAAGTACTATTTGGTTTAAAACGTAATATACAGAAATTTGAATTCAACGTCGAACCCCGGTGTCAACTCTTTGATACATATGTTGGGAGTGTTATTTCGTATGAAAGCGTAATCTGGGGTTTTCATAAATCTCCGGAAATAGAAAGACTACATTTATCCTTTTGTAAAGTTACCCTTGTTGTTGTATGCAATAACATGATTTATAGAGAATTGGGGCAATATCTACTTATTATACAAAGGAAATTGAAAATTATGAAATTTTGTTGTAAAATACTAAAAAGCAGAAAACTGCATTTTAAAATCTTCTTAATGAATACCTGCTATATGATGCAGAGAATGGGTCGGGAACGAGTATAAACTGGGCGCGTAATGTAAAACTTGAGCTATTTAGATTGGGTCTGGGAGAATTTTGAATAAAACAGCAAGCAATAAACTTTGCTCATTTTGTGCATCTGTATAAAAAAAGAATCCTAGAGTGCACTGCATTTATGGATAACTCGTCAAAATGCTTTTTATATAAACACATTGTCCAATCTGACTTCTGTAAAATGCCATCCTATTTAACAAAACCTTTTCAGAGTAATTTAAAAAAGCATATCTTTCGTCTCACATCTTAACATAGAATGCGAAAGGTACCAAGGCAAAAGCAGAGAGGATAGATTATGCGATGTTTGTGATACTCGTCAAATAGAAGACGAATTCCATTTCATTCTTCAATGCCCTAAGATATCTGAATTTAAGGGGAAAAAATATATAAATGAATATTATTACAAATCGCCAATTTAAATTAATCCAGTTGTTGGGTACAAACCACATATCTACCTTGGTTGGTTTAGGGAAATATATCCATTATGCTCTAATATAACGTAACGAAGATCTATCAGGTTAACCTAATTTATATCTGTCTAAGGTTTATATTTTCAGATGTCTGTACTTTAAAACAGCATTGATACATATTGTATTATAACTTTGAATTATGTATTTTACTGCTTTATTCAATATATTATTGTATTGTATACTATAAATGAGTGGAACTGTGGGAGACTGAGGAACACTTGACCAGGGGCTTCACCCCCCAATTTAGGCTCATTAAGAGTCTTAAATTTTGTAATATACATGTATGCTGTTATTATATGCTATTTTTGCAAACTGGTGGGCTGTATTGCCCAAAGTTATATTCTGAATACACTTGTAACTATAAAAGGTATAACCCTGGATTCTACTTGTATGGTTATTTTTACATAAAGATAGCCAATAAAATTGACAGATTCTCTTTTAAAGCCTGATGGTTATCAAACCTATGCAAATCAATATCTTTCAATAGAACTTTACTCTTACAATTATTTTATGAAGGTTGGTATTTCTGCCAACAATTAGATCTATATATCTCAAAGAAGGTGCAAATGAATAATACAGTCACATTAATTTAAACATTTATTTCATTTCTTTAAAGCATTAACTGATCATACAAAATCAATATTGACAGCTTGAAACTGATATTCCTTAGAATAATTACAGACTTTAAAAACAATTCAACTAATGAATATTCATTACTCTATTTATGAATATTCATTACTTTACTTCCTCTATCCATTTCCATACTGACAATGCCATCATTATTGCTAGGAGACCATTTGCTAATTAAATATTAATAGCAGTTTTTCTTTTACATACATATTTATTTGACATAATTCATAATTTGCTCTAATACTAAAATACAATGAACTGATCAAAGCAAATGACAATGTCACAACAGTCAAGGAAAAGTCCAAAGTTGCTGAATTTGGCAATGGTTGACGGCAAATGTTGATATGAATTTGCTGTTAATTTACTAATTGGCAAATACTTTAATGGCATTATTTTAAAATTTCATTTTTTTTTTCAATTTGTCACAATATATTTTGTATGGTTGCAACCTAATACAATGTGCCCTAACAATGTTTTTCAATGTTCAAAAACTAGAAAGATACAGAATAATCTAATTTTTTAGCTGTCAAGGTCTGCAACTTCTGCAAAATTTAGAAACCTTTCCAACTTCAGACTGTCCCCAACTAAAATTACCTTCATGCTTGGATAATAACATGTATAAAGTTAAAATGCCCTTTCAAAAATATTGCATTGCAATGAACAACTTTTGTGCTAATATTTCATAAATATCCAGATGATGATGATTTGCTCTTTCATAAATAATCAGTGTTATCTACTAGCATTTAGATATGTCTCTCTACAGTTTTTCCTGTCAAACATGGACTGTTTTATGTCTACTGGCCAATTCCTCAAAGTAATGAAGTCTCTTGGAATTCACATGATGCAGGAACTGTTCTATTCTTGTCTCTCTAAGTTTGGCGTATTGTAAAACTTGGTCTGACAAGGAGTTTGTGGATTGGTCTCCAGATTCACACTCAGATAATACACAGTTATAGTCAGATTCCCTCTGTTGTCTCTCTCTGTCTGACAGATCCAACTCTACAGCATGCTGTAAAATAACCACATATTTGTCTTTTAATCTGTGCTTTTATCTTCTTTCACATTTTCTAAAATATATAGACATCAACAAAATTTGTTTTCCTAAAATTTTCAGATGACCCAGTGCATTGAGGTAAAATATAAACAATTCACAGTTTCACACTGCACCTTTATATAAACAATTCACACTGCACCTTTATATGAACAATTCACACTGCACCTTTATATGAACAATTCACACTGCACCTTTATATAAACAATTCACACTGCACCTTTATATAAACAATTCACACTGCACCTTTATATAAACAATTCACAATGCACCTTTATATGAACAATTCACACTGCATCTTTATATAAAAAATTCACACTGCACCTTTATTTTAAAATATTGAAGAAATTAGCCAATGATACTGAATTAGTAAAACTAATGGCAAGACACTGGAGCTTTCCAATCTTAAAAGTGAGAACTCATAATATGAATATTCTATAGAATGAAAGTTGAAGTATTGTGTCGAACCTTTGAGAGAATAGTGACCTACCTTAATTGCTGCATAGTTCCTTTGATAATGAAGAATAGCACCATATAAATGCCATATACTGAATTCTGGCCATAAAACATCAACAAACGAAAGACAACTGTAACTAGTCTGAAAGAAAAAAGCACTTCAAGCAGGATGGGAAATAACTCTTTCTATGATAAATCTGCATACTCATATTTCAAATCTCCTGTAATGAACTAAAATATTGTATACAATAAAACTTTTCTTATCTGCAAATTTGAAAAATGCAGATGATGCTTAGATATGAAATTCCATGGAATAACATTAATGTTACATCATTTCATTTCTAGGATGTGCTGACAAACCTGGTATCTTCTCTCTCTGCTGTGGCTTTGTTGGAACCAAATTTTATAAACCATAAAGCACATGTATTAATTTGAAAACAGACCCTTATAATGTATCCTTAACACAGGACACATCCCTTGCCCTAGCATTCTGTGTAACTGACCTGCCAGAGGAGAAAATCACTCAGTCGGACCTCTCCCGAGGTTCTAATGAGGAGGTCTGGGTTAGGGGACTGAGATGTAAACAAACACTTCTCCATCAGATCTTCTGAAATATCACTGTAAACAAAGGAATATACATCACTGAATATCACTGTAAACAAAGGAACATACATATCACTGTAAACAAAGGAACATGACTGTAAACAAAGGAATATATATCACTGAATATAACTGTAAACAAAGGAAGATATGTATCACTGTAAACAAAGGAGTATAAATATCACTGTAAACAAGGGAACATAATTTATATATCACTGTAAACAAAGGAACATCACTGTAAACAAAGCAATATACATCATTCAATATCTCTAAACAAAGAAATATACCTCACTGAACATTACTGTAAACAAAGGAGTATAAATCATTGAATATCACTGTATTTCAAGGAATACACTGAATATAGCTCACTCTAAATAAAGAATATCCATCACTTAAAGTTACATAGTGAGTCAATATCATGTGTTTCTTTTAAGATAATTTTGGCATAAAGCTCAAGATTTATGAGAAATATGAATAAGGCGAAGTTTTGAGATCTCAACTGCACAGTAAAAGCAAGAAAAGACTGCAAAATGTAGATGTTGGAAAAAGAAAAGCTGTATCTATTGCGTGGTTGTTATCGTCAATGTCAACAATGTCAAGGTCATGTGCCTTTTATTCTTAGCGTGAAACTTGTAAACAACATTGAATAAGAGCAATCAAAAGTGAGGAATAAGTTCTGATCATCTTTTTTGAAGATTATATCAAAATACTCGGTCATCCGACATTTATATCTATGGAATTGACACCATGGTAACTTCATCAACTTTTCTGTGCATGTGTACCTTAAAGAGGAAGAAGTGAAGCAATATTTTCATGTTGGGGCAAACTAAAATAAAATTATTTTTACTTTTTTCTCCACAAAAGTAGATTTTTTAGGTTCTGAAACCTGTAATTTTCTGAAACCTAATACTTTCAAGAATTGAATAAAGTTTGCATGTGTCTTGCAAAAATTCTACTTCTGGTATTTTCCCGTTTGTCCGTCACAGTGTCTCTTTAATATCCATGTACACAAACAAATGTATATCAATGAATATAGCACTAAATACTGGATAATTTCACTTAAGCACCTTTTTAGAGAGACTGATGATAGGACTTTAAACTTTATACTATTATACAACATTGCATGATCCTGTGGGAAATATGAAGATTTATTCAGCCAAGAAAAATCATATTCCCCGAGGGCTTCGCTTGAGGGGAATATGATATTTCTTGGCTGAATAAATCTTCATGTTTCCCAAACATTCAAGCAATAAATTGTTTATTATACCGAAACAAGCAAAAACTTTACAAATAAACATAAACTTCAAATTTGGCACCGCTCTTAAATTCACTTTCAATTTTAACGTAATGTTACTGAAACAATTTACAGATTTGTTTTCGTTCAACATACGAAAACTATTGCGGAAAAAGGCACTAGGTCTCCGAAGAGGTTGAATATGATGAAAAGCATGATGACAGGGAAATATGAAGTTTTATGGCCCTGTCACGTGATAATCTAGAACCAATCAGATTACGCATTGTATAGAATAATTACAATGAGGTATAATAATAATTGATATTTTGATATACACATATTTTGAAGTCTTTGCTAAATTACATTGGATTGATGTGAAGAATGATTTGTGGATAATAAATAGTTCATTTGACTATCTTAATCTTCCTTAACCTTGCATATCATGAGTTACCTCTCTTTGATGAGGCCAAGCTGAACACCTTCTGCCATTTCACGCATGGCTGCACATATTTCATCACGAGAAGTGTAGGCAAAACACACATTTAGCACAGCCCTAAAATAGACAGTAAAAAGTATCTTCAAAAAAAGTAAAACAATATATTTTTTTATATTACATATACAAAAGAATTGGAAAAAAGGTCTTTCAACTTAATGAATCTTTTCCTTGGAATGCAGTGTAAATACACACAATGATAATAATTTCTGGAAGAGGGACCTATAAGTAGTGGTGTAACTCAGAGGATGTATTTTTATATTAAATGAGTAAATTATTGATCACAGACACAAGTTTTTAAAACCTCTTAATGAAAATCAATGAAAACATCAATGATTAATACCGCAAACGGCAATATTCAAAACCATATATTGATGTCTCTAGTACATGAAAGACAACTACCATATATCATGTAAATTCAAATCCATAAACTGTGAATAATATGAAAGACTTACATAATCTAAATCCTCATTTAACAAATATAGGTTTTGTTTTCTCATGTAAATCATATACCATACCAATTTTGATGCACCAGATGCCCATTTCGACAAATTATGTCTCTTCAGTGATGCTCATGCATCATGGAAATCCGAAATATTTAATTTAAAAAAACTGAGAATAGCTGAAAAGAGGGGTGCCAAAGACAAAGTCATATAAATTTACTATGTGCTTTATCTACTTGATACCACAGTAACTCCTGCATAGCAAAAATGTTTGATGAGATATAAGATCAAATCCTCCTCTTTAATGGAGGTTAATTACCATGTTTAAGAGAATGATAGTTATTTCCCCAGTTTGGAAAGTTCACATCCTCTTCGACAAAAACAATTAATGTTTTTAAAAGACTCACAATATTAGCCCCTTCACGGTAACTGCGGCACTACTCTTTTGCAGGGCAAAATAATAACGTTTGACAAAGTTTTTGTTGACAGATAATCAAATGATGTATATTTAACAATTACTTTTATGTCATATTTCACCAAACTATATCATTTTGCCCTGCAAAAGAGCAATACCGCAGTTCCCGTGAAACAGTCTATTGATCTCAAGTTTTTGTGGCCACCATACTTTTTTTTTTTTTTGATTGAAGAAATTTCCATTTTAGCTTACAGGTCAGGCCACATTGAATTTCAGTAGTATACTGCCTGATTTACCTTTTATTGTCCTTGGAGAAGTGAACACATTCTGCAATCTGCTCCTGGATATCCAATGGCAGCAAAGTTAGGTTACCAAGGACACGTACACAAACCTGATGTTTCTGTATCAGCTCCCTGTAAATTTCAATTATTTATTATTCTGTACAAACAATTATTTGTAAACTTGAATTGATAATAAAATCAACAAATTTCAAGCATGGTATACCAGATATGAAAAACATGAATCCACATAAACTCAGAAAAAAATTAATGTGCCTATATGCATCAAAAAGGCAATACAGTTGTACTTTCATCAAGTTTCTGACATGTATTTACTCAAACTCTTTACAAAACATTTCAAGACTCTACAGTAAACAATTGCAGACACATTTCTTTAACATTTAATAATCCCTTTTAATGATGCAATGCCTCTTAGCTTCTGAAGTCCCAGCATTTTCATATCTTTAGCTACTACAATCTTAAGATTTTTATCTTCATATCATACATACGTAGAAAAAAGTTAATTTTTTATAGTTGAAAGTCCTTAAAGGGAAACAACTCACTATTCCATACATAAACAAAGGGTAGGTAAATGACCTTCAAGGAAAGTAAACCACTTTCCAAGCACTGACAGGTACAGTTAATCTTTCTAAAGGGAGCTAACTTACTTTTCCTGCATGAGGCGGGTAAATTTTTGCCTGGCAAGTTCCATCAGACAGTCTACCTCGTCTTTTGACCTCTTGAAGTTTTCTATACTGAAGGCATAAACAGTAACCTCTGTTATCCCTATATCAAGACACCACTCCAAAGTCTGAAAGAAGAAAAAAAATAACTTGAATTATGCATAAAGAATAAAAGTATCAAGTACAATTGGAAAATCTTCATTTTTTAACCAAAGGAGGAATATGGCAAAGAATTCTAGCACAATGTGCTGTCCTATATGTCTGCTATACCATACATAATGTATTGCAACAAACTTTATATCAGATGAAGTTAATCACTGTCTAACCTCTGACAGTGTATTAAATCACTAACCTCTAGGACTGACCTCTGACAGTGTATTAAATCACTAACCTCTAGGACTGACCTCTGACAGTGTATTAAATCACTAACCTCTAGGACTGACCTCTGACAGTATATTGAATCACTAACCTCTAGGACTGACCTCTGACAGTGTATTAAATCACTAACCTCTAGGACTGGCCTCTGACAGTGTATTAAATCACTAACCTCTAGGACTGACCTCTGACAGTGTATTAAATCACTAACCTCTAGGACTGACCTCTGACAGTGTATTGAATCACTAACCTCTAGGGCTGACCTCTGACAGTGTACTGAATCACTAACCTCTAGGACTGACCTCTGACAGTGTATTAAATCACTAACCTCTAGGACTGACCTCTGAAAGTGTATTGAATCACTAACCTCTAGGACTGACCTCTGACAGTGTATTGAATCACTAACCTCTAGGACTGACCTCTGAAAGTTTATTGAATCACTAACCTTTAGGACTGACCTCTGACAGTTTATTGAAGGACTGTCCTCTGACAATTTATTGAAGGACTGACCTCTGACAGTTTATCAAATCCCTTGAAGTGCCCCTCGGCCCTCTCCATGTGGTTCTTCACAGCAAACCTCCTGTTGCCGTCCATAATGAAGGCTACATGCTTTGGTATGGGGCCTGTCTTAAGTATTCTTTGACACACCCTGTGTATCCAGCTCTGTCCCGACTTCTTCTCTGGGAACCAAGACATAGCATTCACTCAGCCTGCAATCAACATTATCTTATTAACAGGTATATGTGATGGTACTGAATCAATACACTTCAGATCATGCTTTGACATATGTACGTAAAAAAACTACATCATTTTGCTATCTCAAACAATGATTACACAAGATCTACTTCTGAAGATAAACCTTATATCATATATGTGCAGATGAAGACACTACTCACAGGAACTTTTTTGTGTTTATTGAAAGCAGAATTCCTGAACTATGAAATTTAACAATGCATAAATAAAGTAAGACTAACTTTTATATAATCTTTTCTATTCTATTTGATTTGTAATGGGAGAGGAGAGAAATGCAGCGGACCAGACCGGGATTCGAACCAGGGCCCCCTGAATCTCCAGTCAGGTGCTCTACCAACTGAGCTATCTGGCCACCCGCGATCGATTCCCCCTGACCGCCGCAGATTCAAGGTTAGGTACCAGGACATAATATGTGAATGAGTCTATCATGTTAAGTAAGTTCAATAAACTATATTATTGTGACAAAACATGATATGCAATTGCACATAACCTTTTCAACTAAGGAAGCTAAGGAAACTAAGGAAGATGTTCTGTAAACATATTATCCTTCAAGCAGTTTCATATTAAGTAGAATAGCCACAATATACTCGAGGGAATCTTTCACAAATAATGAACCTGAACAGTGTGTAATAAACTAAGAAAAATTATTTACCACAATTGTCAGCTCAACATGTGATTTCATCATGTTCATATACTCAAGTATCTGTACTTACAAGTACGAAATTTTCATTATAGCATCCATGTATTCAGAATTTCACACCTTGACAGGTGTATATTTTTAACAAAATTCTGTTGATACTTACGATCGACACAGGTGAATCACTTTCACAACTCTAAAATGCCTTTTAGTCTCATTCTTCCTTTACCCACAGGATTGACGTTATCTAGGTCAACTACACGTGTGCAACGAAAATGCCTATCCTTCCGCTTAAAAGTATAGTGCATAACCAACTTGCTTTTCATAACTGTGACAACAATAAATTGAATTTAAACAAGAAATTGGAGTTTTTTCATTTGTTATTCATATTCGGGATAATTTTTTGATAAAATTTGTGAATGTCACCAAAATTTTATTCATCCGCGGTCATTCAACCGCGTTTACGCGATGTGTTTGCCTATGGAAGAAAACAAATCGAAAATGGCGTCTTCAATACTTTGCGTTCACCCGAGCTTTGTAATTGGAATTTAACTTGATTAAGCTAACGTCACGGAATTTCAAGATGCCAGGTCATATACCTGGATCTTCAACCTCTTCGTCTGTAACAGAAGGTAAGGAATTTTCAGTATTTTTGACGCGAAAAAGCCCTATAAACCGAAGCGATGAACAACCTCAGTATTCCATTTTCTCTTTCAGAGCTGTATTTTCTCATCGCCCGGTTTCTCGCCCAAGGGCCTTGCCGTGGTGCTGCAGAGGTATTTTAAGTCCCTGATTAATGAAATTAAACATCTTTTGGCTTATGTTTAAGTTTTTGTACTGTTATTTCTAGGTTTTACAAAGAGAATTGAAGGAAAACCAGGTTGGTGTCTCAGTTGTTTTCAGTCAAGTTATATCCAAATTACGCGCTCTTTACGCTATTTTACGATGAAAATACGGGAAAAGTGTCTTGATTTTGATTGTCAATTGCTAATGAATGAAATATTTTCGCGATGTGTCAGTTTTTGCACGGAACATTAGAAATATTGAAAAAATATTTTTTTTAAGCTTTTACCAAAAAGAATCGACTGGGAAGGCAGGGAACACGAAAGAAGTTATGAAAATTTGGTATGTTTTGAAAATGCCATATTTCCATGTTTTTGCATGTGACATGCATTGGTGTGTGTTTTTCAGTGTTTTCGTTTCATTTATATAGCTCATATATAACATTACACATTTGGGGAAACCAAACGTGTCACCATATTCGATTTTTTCTGTTTTTACACTTTGTAAAGTAATTTAGCATGGATTCTAATAAACATTTTCTGGGGAGATTATCATATCTTCAGTGCAAGGTCATTTCTCTCTGATGTCACACGCCTTTTCATTTCTCTCGATTTTGATTGGCTGAACACAAGTTCAAAGGTAAGATGTAGTTAAAGGGTTTGAATTCTTATTGGCTCTCATTGACATAATGCAGGGGTCAGAAAGGTTAAATTTTCTATTCAAGTAAGAGGCTCACAAAGGGGAGTACTTTAGTGACCAACTTGGCTGTTTTATTGTAATTCTTTTTTTAAAGGTGGCTTTCTATTGTCAGTCAGTTTGTTATACATGAAGAATCAAAATATTATTTTCTAAATTATGAAATTCAATTCCTTTCATGGACGCTCTTCATTGTAAAGAATTTTTCTCATTTCATATTTTTATTTTTATTTTTTTTTTAAATAAATTTTCAACTTCTTTTTTTAATTCATAGTATATTTGTCCATTTTTAGCCCACCTCAACAAAGTTGGGGGAGCTTATGTAATACCCTCGGCCTGGGCATCCCAAGGTTAAAGTTTTTGGTGCAGTTTTCTTTTCAAGTACTTCTGAGCCCTATATTAATCAGAGATGCATGGAGGATGCTTCTATTATGTTTCATTGTACCAGTCAAGGTTTCAGATGCTGCAATTTCAGCTGTAGAATGACCAGGTTAATGTTTTTGGAGCAGGTTAAAGTTCTTAAAGCAGGTTAATGTTTTTTGAGCAGGTCTCATTTCCAAGTAACTATAAGCCCTATATTGACCAAACTTGCATGGATGATACATATAAGGATGCACAATACCATGCTTGCTTCGGATGCTGGATCTGACCTACATTTTCCTGATGAGTGACTAGGTTAAAGTTTTTGGAGCAGGTCTCATTTCCAAGTAACTATACGCCCTATGTTGACCAAACTTACATGGATGATACATCTAAGGATGCACACTACTGGACTTGCTTCGGATGCTGGATCTGACCAGGGACCTATATACTAACGGGATAGGCAACTCTCGCAAGTCCAGTGTTTTCAATAAGATTTTCAATAGAAGGAAATATATTTGGAACAGCAGGAAACCAATCTCGGCGAGGGGTCAGGGGGCTGCCTCAGGCCTCCAGCGGGTCTTGGGCGGAGCCCTGGTAGGGGGCCCAGGGGGGCGAAGCCCCCCGGCTGAAAACGAATATTGGCATTTTTGACTCATTTTTTTTACCTCTCAGGCCAATAAATTTTTCACATTTCTGTCACTATCAATTACCAAATTTTACCTAATAAAGCCATTTAGAAAACAATTTGTACCCTTTCACTGATTTGTTATATCGACTTTTGACAGACTGATTTTTTTTTTCCTGAAAACTAGGTGTCTGTAAAAACATTAAGACAACTTAAGTATGAAATTCTAGCACAGACAATGTTTGTGCTAGAATTTCATACTGAAAATGCTACTTTATTAGTCCCTTTCACATTAACTGGTCAAAAAAATTGTTCAAAATTAAGGAAATAATTTATTTAAAAATTTAAGAACTTTTTAACACGTAGTGACGTACAATACCCCCCTAAAATTGAAATATTCTGCAATCTTAGACTAAAATATCATAAACCTTTTCAATTTATTTACTATTTTGTACAGATTGTCGGAACGAAATAATTAAGAAAATGGATACAAATACAAACTACTAGTACATAAAAACCTTCTTAAATGTGAAATGTTACACTGTTCCTGTATTTCAAGAGAGCTAACACAAATAAACAAAAATACAAATTTACATTTTCAATTTGAGGAAATCTGTAAGAATTAATTCCTATGCCCCACGTCTGAGTCAGGATTAAAAAATTAAGACTTTAATTTGTAAGGTCTTAAAATTACATCAGTCTAGATATAAATAGTTGCTGTTGTAATAATCTTTAAATAGCTTGTGGAGTGACAGTGAATGTTAAAAAAAACCAAAAAACATTTATTAAATTATTTTCCTGTTCGACATTTTAGGCCGTCGATACCTAGTGCTTGCGTCAATGAAACCCCAAATTCTCAATAATCTTGATCATATCCTGTATAGCTAAAGTTAAATCGCGATAGTTGAGTTGTGAATTTTATATGAGGTTGGAATTATTCATTAAAAATTTATTCTTTAAACTTTACTCTCGCAAGTTATAGCTTGTTCAGTAGTTGTAGTACGTATTGGATCAAATCAGACTTCCATGAAAAAGAGCGCACTCAAGGGAAGTTACTCTATATCATGTAGATAGTCGCGATAAAATCTACAGATTTCGCGTACCAACCCCGGCAAAATCCCAATTACGGAATTCTCACAGCCGGCAAAATTTCTCGTGCAGGCGGTTAATTTTGTCGGTTGCCGGCTCTTATTGAAAACACTGAAGTCTCGCGATAGCTCGTAAGTTGCGGGATTTCGTTAGTCACTTTTAATTAAATATATTTCTTTGCTATCAAATATTTCAGAATAAAATCTTAATTTATCTATCGAAAAATTATTCAAGATTTGTTATTAGCACTGTTTTTATTCCTTATCTTAGTAGTAATTACGTTTATTTAAAAATCAGTAGGTGCCCCTGATCGGCCATATTTCCGAGAAATCGCCGATTTTGGTAGTTGTTTACTTAATATCTAATTTATTTTATAATATGTGCTTTAAAATTTATTAAATATCCATTCTGATACACAAAAAGAACAGATTACATTAATCAGAAAACAAGCTTTTTACTGGGAAAAAACGTAGTTTGAAAAAATTGTAGTGTTGTGTGTGCCGTTTTGGATAAATAAACATGGCGCTGAAGGAGTTGCCTATCCCGTTAGTATATAGGTCCCTGATCTGACCTACATTTAAAATGAGTGACCAGGTTAAAGTTTTTTGAGCAGGTCTCATTTCCAAGTAACTACATGTATAAGTTCTGTGTTGAACAAAGTTGCATGGATGATACATCTAAGAATGCACACTACTGGACTTGCTTCAGATGCTGGATCTGACCTACGTTTTCCAGATGAGTGACCAGGTTAAAGTTTTTTGAGCAGGTCTCATTTCCAAGTAACTTTAAAGCTCTATGTTGACCAAACTTGCATGGATGATACATCTAAAGATGCACACTATCAGGCTTGTTTTGGATGCTGTATCTGACCAACATTTTCCAGATGAATGACCAGGTTAAAGTAAACTATAAGGGCTATCTGAACCAAACTTGCTTGGATGATGCATCTCAGGATGAACACTCTCAAACTTGCTTCAGATGCTGGATATGACTTACATTTTCTGGATGAGTGACTAGTTTAAAGGTTTTAGGTTAGTCCATTCCCAAGTGACTGCAAGCCATATTGGTCCAAATTTGCATAAATGTCACATTTAGGGATGCATACTACTAGATTATTAGTTTGGGACTTTGCCTTACTTAAAAACAATATTCGTTGAGGTGAGCTCTGTAATCTCTGATTACCTATGTTTTCAATTTGTTTTTCTCTTTATAAATTGACAGCACACAAATTTACATTCACTGTTCACTAGCAATTGCACATGTGTAATACATTGTTTTTTTTCTCTTAAGGTGGAACTAAACAGACACATTAAATCAGACCACCTGTTAAAGATATGTCAGCGGCTGGGGCCCCTCCTGGACAAAGAGGTCAAACCCAGTGTCTGTGGTGTCCAGTCTCTACTGGGGGCAGGGAGTCAGTCCCTCCTCAGGACAAAAGAAGGTAAAAGCCATTAAAGTTAATGTCAAATACACAAGAAATAATATTTGTAAAATACAACTTACTCATTTTAGGGCTGGGACAGTACTGACCCTAGCCAATCTGATACGAATCATGATACCTAGGACACGATCCGATTCATATCACAATGCTTTGGAGTTCGATAAAAACTAGAAAATCGGGTTTCAAAGTTATTCAGTTTTCAAAATAAATCAGTGAAATACCACTTTAGTTTACTTTTGAATGACTTATTGAGATAACATTAGGGTGAATTCACCATGCATCGGACA